TTCATTCATTAATCATTGACAAAAAAGAATCTAGTTTACTGGAAGGTTGCACATTGCTTATTTGGAAAGGAGTCCTCTTCATTTTCTGTTAATCTTTCATGAATTTGCAAGTTCAGATGTATTATTGATCATCTTGATGAATGTAAATCTGCCTGTTACTCTACAAATAGCTGCACAACTTCCCATCATTTCACCAAAGCTTCACAGGTGCCCCATGAAGGTCTCACTGTAATGAATATAAAGGTAAAGGTAAAAGGGACCCCTGACCATTAGGTCCAGTCGTGGCTGACTCTGGGGTTGCGGCGCTCATCTTGCTTTATTGGCCAAGGGAGCCAGCGTACAGCTTCCGGATCATGTGGCCAGCATGACCAAGCCGCTTCTGGCGAACTAGAGCAGCACACAGAAACGCCGTTTACCTTCCCGCCAGAGCAGTACCTATTTATCTACTTGCACTTTGACATGCTTTCGAACTGCTAGGTTGGCAGGAGCAGGGAACGAGCAACGGGAGCTCACCCCATCACGGGGATTCGAACCGCCGACCTTCTGATCGGCAAGTCCTAGGCTCTGTGGTTTAACCCACAGCGCCACCCGCGTCCCGTAATGAATATAAGATGCAGCTATTACAATTATAATTGTCTAGATGCCATCGCAGTCTAGAACACCCACCTCTGTGGTCAATATGGTTTATATAGACCAGTTATTTCAAAGGGGACACAAATTTGATTGTGCAAAGAAGATGCTTCGGGCTCTGTTACCTCTGTGTTAATAAGTATTGGGGCCTTAAATTCATAGAAAATCACAGGATTAGAGCTTGTTGAGTGCCTTGTATCATTCATAGATGAAACCATCAGGAGGATTCTGTGGTGTCTGAAAATGGTTTTTCCTTATGAGCCAGGATGAGAGCAGAGTGCTTTGTTTAATTTGCCCTCACTAACAGAATTGTGTACATGATATTATCAGAATTGATTGGATGGACATAAAGGCTGTTGGGACAACAGCAACAAAGTGGTGCCAAGCAAGCAGAATAGTGTTGTGAATGCCATCAAGGATGGTGAAAACCCCACAAAGAAAAGAACATCCTTCCTGGGAGTATTACGACCCCCTCCTCACATGTTTTGACACACATGCACACATTTCTAAAGAAGATTACATCGACAAAAGTTGAAGTTGCAATGAGCTCTACAGCAGAAAAGGGGATGACTTTAACACTCAGTAGTTCCCAATAAGTACCGTATTTTTTGCACCATAACACTCACTTTTTTCCTCCTAGAAAGTAAGGGGAAATGTCTGTGCGTGTTAGGGAGGGAATGCCTACGGACGGCGGAGGGGGGGATCTGCTGCAGTCGTGAGCAGAGGATCCATGGTTCCCCTTCCTTCCCTCCTCCGTGGCTCGCTTTGAAACAGCAAAGCGGGAGAAGAGCCGCTGAGTGGGGAGGAGAGAGGGACAGAGAGCCTGCTTCTTTAAAGGAGCAAAGCGGGAGAGGAGAGCAGCCGCTTACATGAGTGTAAGCGGCTTCTGTCCGGTTGGTTCCTTTAAAGCAAGCAGGCTCTCTGTCCCTCTTTCCTCCCCACTCAGCTCACTAAATAGCAGCTCGCTAAGCCGGGGATGAGCGGGGAGGAGGGAGAAAAGCAGAGCCTGCTTGCTTTAAAGGAGCAAAGCGGGAGAGGAGAGGAGCCTTCTCCCCTTATACCCCTCTTCTTCATTATTAGCAGCATCCTTCTCCACCCACCCCACGCATGCTCCTTGTCCCTTGAGTGCTTTTCCTTCCCTCCCCACTTAAAACATGGTTACAAAGCACGGATCCACATGTATCCTCAGGATTTTTGCACTGGGTCACCCCAAATTCACCATCAGATCACATAGCATGTCCATGGCTACATCTTGCACCAAAAAAATCACGCACCCACTGTTGCCTGGGGCCGCAGTGGTGCAAAAACGTGGTTACAAAGCATGGATCCACATGGATCCTCAGGATTTTTGCATTGGGCTACTCCAAACTCACTGTCAGATCACATGTCTGTGGCCACAGCATGAACCACAAAAATCATACATCCACTGTTTCGTTTAGAATATTTTTTTTCTTGTTTTCCTCCTCTAAAAACTATGTGCGTGTTATTGTCGGGTGCGTGTTATAGAGTGAAAAATACGGTATATAACATGGAAATATTGCTTCCTTTTCTTGGCATCATCAAAAACAAAAATATACATCTAAAAAACAAAACAAACTAGTGCCTAGTGTTTCCTGTATCTCAGACTTTTCAATTAGCAATTTCTTAAAGCCAGAGAGACTAAGTTGTCACAGTTCAGGATTTATTCCGTTTCTCTGCCAAAGGAAGAAAATTCAATAAAATGTATTATTTATACAGTCCTGTTATACCTTTCAGAGGGCCAGCACTTTACATAATCAAATAGGCTTATCATCTTATCCTAACACTTGAAGTTTCCTTAACAATACCCCAGAGTCTGGTTATAGAAAGGGCTGGCTTACGCGATGATGACAGAGACACTGAAGATTTCTGCTGATAAAATAGGGTTAACTTTTTGTCATTGTCGGTAGAAAATGAAAAATGACATTAATAGCTGGTCTACATGTCAGGCACACTAAATGATAGGGAACAATGCTTAGAAGGTACTACTCGCCTTTGGACTGTGAATGCATCCTATATTTTTAAATACTTCCCCCCGCACACACAAACACACATTAGAAACTTTTCTAACATTGAAAGCTAGCCTTGACTTATCCCTGATACATGCATTTTTTGTATCTAGGTTGTGTATCTATGTGAATAAATAATTTAATTATGTGATCCCTTAATCCAGGCATGGCCAAACCAGTGGTCAGGGATTATGGGAACTGTAGTCCCAAAACATCTGGAGGGCCAAGTTTGCCTATGCCTGCCTTAATCTGATCGTGAAATGGTACAGTCCAGGAAGGCTTGTATTACATGCTTTTTCTGAATATGGTGTTGGTCTTTTAGAGAGCTTGATTGTCTTGTAAATTAAGTCTGCTTTGTGTTTGTCCCTATGCTGCAGGAGGCATGCTTCAAAATCATCCTATCCAAAGATCATGAGGTGAACTGAATCTCTGTTCTAGGTAATAAATTTAGAGCATCAACTTTGGATGAGCTTTGTCCAAATTATGCTTCCTCTTGACCTAAAGTTTACGTGTCATTGGTAAGGCACTGGCAATGCAGGACTGTGTACTTCATAAGACTGAACATGTGCATTCTCCTGAAGCAATTTCTCTAGGAAGCATACATGAAATACACATGGTCAGCAAAATCTTGGAAATCTTGGTCTACTACTGTGGCAGCAAAAGGAGACTAACCACATAAAGGCACAAAAATCCTCAGCTCCAAAACAAAGAACCATGGATAGTACACATTGTAAAAGGTAAAGAGACCCCTGACCATTAGGTCCAGTCGTGGCCGACTCTGGGGTTGCGGCGCTCATCTTGCTTTATTGGCCAAGGAAGCCGGCGTACAGCTTCTGGGTCATGTGGCCAGCATGACTAAGCCGCTTCTGCCGAACCAGAGCAGTGCACGGAAACGCCGTTTACCTTCCCACCGGAGTGGTACCTATTTATCTACTTGCACTTTGACATGCTTTCGAACTGCTAGGTTGGCAGGAGCTGGGACCGAGCAACGGGAGCTCACCCCGTTGCAGGGATTCAAACCACCAACCTTCTGATTGGCAAGTCCTAGGCTCTGTGGTATAACCCACAGCGCCACTTGCGTCCCTTAGTACACATTGAGTTTCATATTAACTTCCCAAATGAATACTGTACCAGATTTATGGAGACAAGTTAGAAAGCTTAGGTGAACAAGCATTCCATGCTTTCCTACAGGAGGTGCTTGAAAAGCAGCTGAATATTTTTTAAAAAAACATTTCCATGCCACCTGTTGGTAAATGGCAGATTTCTCTGGCAGTGTTAACAACATGGTTTTATTAAGATTCTGGAAATGGTATGTTATTAAGCAGAACAGGATGAGGCATGCTTACAAGAGGTCATTTGTCAGAGGGCCGATCTTACAGATGCTTTTATCACTCCAGGAATATTTTTCTTCATTTATCCTCACAAGCAAATGATGTCTAACCAAGAGAAGAAAATGCACTCTTGGCAGGCTGGAAAAGAATAGGCGTATCAGTGGCTATAAGCTATAAGCTATGGTAGTGTTATCTTCATGCTTAGACAGATGCAGGTGGCAAATAATATTTTATGGGTATCACCATCATAAGAAAGAGCACTGAACACTTCAGCTGGGCAAAGATTTTTCTGTGACTGTATGAACCACTGAGCAGATGGCAGAGGTTCTTCAAGGTGAGCTCATCCATGAATATTCATCATTCAGATTACTGGCCGCAGCATCAAATGATGTCCTGCACATCTGTGAATATCAAATTTGCAGGTTGAACATCAGAATTCAGAGTTTGTATGCACAAAATAACATGCAATGGGCACAAATCATGTATGCCTGAATATTGTTGACGCAATGGTTCTCCACCAGATTCACTTGTTGGTCCTCCATTAAGGATAATCTGGAAGGATTCTAGACCAGTTCAAACATCAGTTTGATTGCAGACTGAATGTGTTGAAATAGGCAAGGAACTATCTCTCAGTCTACCTATCTATCATATGGAGATAATCGTACTAATCCACCCTATAGGATGGCATGAGGATTACAGATATAATGCATGTGAAGCATTTGATCATGCAGGGGAAGATGCTATATAAGTACTGTGTCCAGTTCTGGGTGCCACAATTTAAGAAAGATATTGACAAGCTGGAACGTGTGCAGAAGAGATGATAAAGTGCCTGGAAACCAAGGATTGTGAGGAACGGTTGAGAGAGTTGAGTATGTTTAGCCTGTGAAAAAGGAGACAGAGAGGAGAAATGATAGCCATCTTCAAATATCTAAAGGGCTGCAAGAATCATAGACTTGTAGAGTTGGAAGGGACCACGACGGTCATCTAGTCCAACTGACTGCAATGCAGGAATCTTTTCCCCAATGTGGGTTTCGAACCCACAACCCTGAGATTAACAGCCTTATGCTCTGCCAATTGAGCTATATCACACAGAAGATGGAGCATGCTTGCTTTCTCCTGCTTTGGAGGGCAGGACCCATACCAATGGATTCAAGATACAAGAAATGATATTCTGACCAAACATCAGGAAAAACTTTCTGACAGTAAGAGCTGTTTGACAGTGAATGTTGGCAATTTCCACTCCTCCTTCTGTATGAATTCCCTGTTAGAAAGATTGGCTATGGCATATTTCTCTACATCTTGCTGATATTCAACCAGTCATCCCACTTTGCTCAGATCGAGTTCAGAGCTCCAGTAATTTGTTTCTGGGTAAGAACATTGGCTCAGTGGAGATAAGTGAGGACCACACAGACCTCCTGATCCACACGATGGCCCAGTATATTTGTGTCAAGAAGACAAGAGGAAGAAGATTGCAGTGGCAAGCCATGCATGAGTGCAGCATCCATAGGTGACCAGATTGTTCTCTGTGTTTTATTACTTCTTCCATTATCTAGCCACTCAGCCGCTACAGTATTTTATCACAACTGTATGTATACCTCCGGGGGCGGTGGGATTCTCCTTGTCAAGCAGATGGACAGTTGCTGGCAGTGTGCTGAGTTTAGCAGTAAACTGCCTTTGTTTATCGCCCCCTGTATTGCAGCTCCCTGTGTGTATTCACTTCCTAAAAGAACAAAGTTGCTTTTGACATCTTAGCCAAATCCGTTGGAGTGAGCTTTCACCTTTGATTATTTGGTAGATATCTACGGTAAACTTTAAAGAGGCTAAAGATCCATCCAAGTACAAAGTGAGCGATTTAATTTCCAAGCAATGCAATTTGTCAGTTCAGGGAGGACTGGGGGAACGCTGAACCAGACCATTGCACAATGAAATCTATTTGTCTCCACTCTTGAATTCACTTAATGATTAAATGTCAATGAAGAAGATCGCCGTATACATACTTTTTTGCCTATGTTACTATGAAATTATTTTAAAATAAGGGGAGTTGGGTGTTGAACAGACATAATTTCTTAGATTTCAGTTGTTTAAAAAGCAGTGTCTGATTTAATTAGGGAAATAATAACCAGTGTACTGTTTATGGGACTTTGAATGAATAAATATTATCCCTATCAGATTTGTGAATGGCACAAAACTGGGAGGGATAGCTAACACTGCAGGAGACAGAACTAAAATTCAAAATGACCTTGATGGAGTGGAAGACTGGGTGAAAAACGAGTGTGAGCAGGGATCCACTTGTACAGCAAAACCTCTTCACCGTCGCTATCGCCACTTGGTAGGTTGAGCTCTAACCCGTATTCAGTCCAATTCAAAATGAGTTTTCCTCCACTGGCGCTCTAGCCATCTCAGCGATTGTTTCATGGCCCTCAACTCTGGGGAAAACCACAGGGCCATGTTCACTTCTTCTGTTCCTTTGTTCACTTTGCCTGTACCCAGATGGCTGTCACATAGAAGAAGGTGAAGACACATTCTCTGCTGCAACAGAGGAGAAGACTTAATGTGTGTCAGTTATAGGAGGATAGATTTCAGCCAAATGTTAGGAGAAACATCTTGAGGGTAAGAGAAGTTTGACAATGGAGCCAATTACCTAGAAGGTTGGTGAGCGCTCTGTCCCTGGAGTTCTTCAAGCAGAGGCTGGGTAGCATTCTGTTGGCTATTATGAAGGGAGGATCAGTCATAGTGCTGTAAAAACACTGTAATCTTGAATACTAAGTCTATTTACCTTCAGAAAATATGAGAGAGAGAGAGAGAGAGAGAGAGAGAGAGAGAGAGAGAGAAGGTAATTTCAGAGATGATTCTGGAATTTATGCTGCTGTAACATGGAATGCTTGGGTTTGTATGTACAGTGGTATCTCGGCTTAAGAACTTAATTCGTTCTGGAGGACCGTTCTTAGCCTGAAGCACCACTTTAGCTAATGTGGCCTCCCGCTGCCACCGCACAAATTCTGTTCTCATCCTGAAGCAAAGTTCTTAAACCGAGGCACTATTTCTGTGTTAGCGGAGTCTGTAACCTGAAGCGTCTGTAACCCAAGGTACCACTGTACAAGTCAACAGTCTGGAACAATCTTGGTCAGTTTTAGGATTTGCTCATAAAATGTACATGTGTTCTGTACTTGGGTATCCAAGGTTGACAACAGAATATTAGCCAAAGACTCATGATTTGAATGTCAAATGTTTTCCCCTGCATCACAGTTGCTACTACAAAACTACTTCCCTGGGTGAACTCAGACCAGTAACATAAAAGAATCCATCATATGGATTCAAGGTCACTCAGATGCTTTGAACAAGAACACCTCCACCTCCATCAGGGCCTCTTGTGCTGGCGGAACCCATGTGATCTGAATAGCCATGGGATTGGTACTTTTATCTATTTCTAATACGGCACAAAGAAACAGTTTTGTAGTGAAAACCATGCCTTTGAAGTCACATGTAAATTGGGCCTCAACTCTGTCGTACACATTATGGTCATTCTGCACAAGCAAGTTGTCCCATGGAGCCTATTCATAACCAAAATTGGGGGGGGGGGGGTTCCCATAACCTAGCTAACACAGTCCTTCCACAATATGCAGGTTGTGAGGCTGTCTTAGTTTGACTTGGAATACTTAACATACATTAATGGCAAAGGTCCCATCACCTGCATGTGGCTGGTGTTTAGTAGTAGTAGTAGTAGTAGTAGTAGTAATAATAATAATAATAATAATAATAATAAAAATTTATTATTTATACCCTGCCCATCTGGCTGGGTTTCCCCAGCCATTCTGGGTGGCTTCCAGCAAAATATTAAAATACAATAATTCATCAAATATTAAAAGCTTCCCTAAACAGGGCTGCCTTCAGATTAGCAACAACAAGCATCCTGCTATTTTATGACTGATGGGACAGAGCTGTTTGTCAGTACCCTTTGCAACTGATCTTTCCCCTTGACTTACTTTCTGCTGATTCAATCCTGGCTGTCTCACACACCATATTATCACTCAATATCAACACTCATCCTTTAGTGCTGCAGATGGGTCAGAAGATTAGTCAAACTTCCAAATGGTGAAAAACTCAAATAGGAAAAATAATCAACAGGAGCTTTCAGCCTCACCATCCTGAAAATGTGAGAAGTCTAACTTGCTTTTCTGTTAGTATTTAGTTCACATATCACACTGATTCAATTAACTGGAAGAGCATTTAAAAATAAGTAAATAGCTGTATAGCAGAAACATATCCTCTGCATTCCAATTAGAGATGAATGGGTCTGTCAATTTCAGTTATCTCTGTTTCTCTGTTCTCTGTTTCTCATTTTTCAAATGTCAGAATTGTTCAAAAACAATTCTGTTTTCCATTGTTCTGTAGCGCATACATACACCCCCCCACACCCCTCCTTATGAAAATTCATTAGTACCACAAATTTCTCCCAATAAGCACATTATGTATGTAGTTTTGACTAATGGTCACATTTTTGCAAGCAATTTTCCCTAATATGCATTTTGTTTTTCATTTTCACCTGCATGTTTATTTTCATGCATTTGTGTAAACATTGCTCGGTTGGAGAATGCAACTGCAAAATTCAGAGAAGTGCATATTTCGAAGGATGGCCCTGCTTCAATCTTCATGCTGTTTCAGAAAACGCAAATCAAGAAGTTTCATCACTGAATGCAAACTGAATCGAATTGAATTTCTCCCCCATGCCCTAATTTGCAGGCTGTAATTATGGCTGCAGTACAGCTTTTAACGTCAAGGGATGCGGGTGGCGCTGTGGGTAAAACCACAGAGCCTAGGACTTGCCGATCCCAAGGTTGGCGGTTCGAATCCCCACGATGGGGTGAGCTCCCGTTGCTCGGTCCCAGCTCCTGCCAACCTAGCAGTTTGAAAGCACAAAGTGCAAGTAGATAAATAGGTACCGTTCCGGCGGGAAGGTAAACGGCGTTTCCATGCGCTGCTCTGGTTCGGCAGAAGCAGCTTAGTCATGCTGGCCACATGACCCGGAAGCTGTACGCCGGCTCCCTTGGCCAATAAAGCGAGATGAGCGCCGCAACCCCAGAGTCGCTCACGACTGGACCTAATGGTCAGGGGTCCCTTTACCTTTACAGCTTTTAACATCTTGGTTCTCCGGGCTGGCCCACCCATGAGGCAACGTGTGGCAATTGTTGGGGCAGTAGCCTTCACAGGGGCAGTAGATCTGGCCTCCAAGGAATCCATTGCCCCCTCATACTGCTGCACTCTCCTTGGAGGCGGGATCTGCCATTTCCTCAGTGGCCCCCTCCATGCCACCTCTACAGTGGCCTCTCAGCGAATAGGAGGCACTGCTGGTCTCCTGCCACTTCTCAGCGGGCAATAGCAGGGGCTGCCTCTCCTGGATTCTTTACCTGCACAGTATGATTCAGAGAGGGTCCCTTTCCCCATCTGTGACTGCCTTTAGTTTCCTCTTCAGCTGCTGGGTATGGTTGGTTTTTTAAAAAAAAAATTAGTATTTTATTACTATTTTCCACACAACAAAAATCCCCGAAAAATAACAATACACAAAACACAAAACAAGCATATATTTAAAAAATTCAAATCTTACAAATTAATAATATGAACACTAAAAAGGAAAACAAACATTGACTTCCACCAATCCCACAGCACCTCCTTTACCTCTCATTGTATCTTCCTGCTTTCCTTATCATCTCTATCCTAAGATCTAGATATAAATCCCTCTTTCTTATCCTTTCACTTCACAAGGTTATTCCAGACTCAGCCAGATTTCTGTCCTCGAACCTTGGCTTTTAAGGTATTCATTTAGGCACTCCCATTCCTTTTTCACTTCACTTTTTGGTTTTTGTCTTATTATATCTGTCAGTTTGGCTAATTCTAAATATTCTGAAAGCTTACATAACCATTCTCCCCTCGTGGGTAACTGATTCCCTTTCCAATACTTAGCCACCAGGATTCTTGATGCAGATGTCGCATTTAAGAAAAATTTTGTGTTTTGGAATATCATTGTTTAAAATTCCTAAAAGGAAGGAGCATTTTGTGGTTCTCCTGGATTAATGGAAAGATGCTTATGAA